CTGAGGATGGAGAGGCACAGGAGCCGTGTCTGCCTTCCCACAGCTCCTCACCTGTACTAGGTGGCCCTGGCTCCTGTCCAAGCCAGGTTGCCCTCAGCATCACCATCTGTGGGGCCACCTCCCTGTGCCTTTCTCATCCCCTTTGTCCTTGAGGGAAGTGTGTGTGTGTGGACATTCCCATTCCAAGGCATGGATCCTGCTCCTCCATGTGCCAACACACCCCAAGTCCTGCATCCTCCAGTGAGGATTAGTTCTGGGATTCTGGGATCTATCATCCCATTGTTCCTTGCCTTTGTCGTTCATGAAATCCCACTGAGTCTCTTGTAATACACAGGTGGTTTTCCTTCAGATGGGATAACCAGGTTTTTCCTCAAGTCAATGGAAACTCCTCAGTTTTCTCCTCTGTCTCACGGTCCTTTCTGCTCTGTTGATGTGTCTCATGGCTGCAGCTCTGCTCAGCTTTGGAATGATGAGCACAGCACTATGAACTGAGTGTGATCCCTCATTCTGGATAAAGCTCCACACTGGGGTTCAGTGGAGGGAGTATTGCCCATTTCTGCTGGCTTTGGCCTTTACAAAAGAATTTACAGCTTCTGTTCTAGGGAAAGTTAAATGAAAATGCAGATATTTCCCCCCCCAGCTTTGCAGGTTTTGTCCTGTCACGCGGTTTGTGGAACACGCTGTGTCCCACGAGCTGAGACCAGGATGGCCAAACCCACGAGCCCATTTCCCAGTGCCAGCTGGAACCCCAGCCCTGCTGAGCCCTGCTGAGCCCTGCTGAGCCCTGCTGTCTCTCCACAGATGGGGGAAGCACCGTGCACAGACCCCAGCCCCTGCCTCCCTCCACCATGCACCAGGGGGGCCTCGCAGCCGCCGCTGCCGCCGACACCGGCTCAGCCTACGGGGCCCGGCACAGCTTCTCCAGCTACTCCGACAGCTTCATGAACGCTGCAGCCCCTGCCAACCACATGAACCCTGTCAGCAACGGCCTCTCTCCACAGGTATGTGACCTGCTTCCATCCTGCCTTTGGCTGACAGGACTTGGCTGCTTCAGATCCTCCGAGAGCAGGGCGAGCTTCAGGCTGTCACAGCGTGTTCCGGTTAACGAGGGGGTTGTTGCTGCTGTCAGGAAGTCTTGGAGGCAGCCTAGTTAAAGCATTTGGCTAATTCCTTTATCAGCAGCATCACGCAGCACTGTTCTGCAGAGCATTTGTGTCCTCTTAGTTCCCATCTCCACGCTAACGCGCTGCAACCACAAACAGCGGGACTCAGAGCATCAATGGTTGTCTGCTCGGCCCTCCAGAATATTCCACAGCCAAAAGTTCCAGGGCCCTCCAATTGTGGATTTTAATCTAATGACAGCACACTTGATGTTTTTAGTTACTGTAGAAGTAGCTCATGATTTGTGGGTGGCTGATTTAGAGATTAGCCAAAGCCAGCTTGTCCAAGTTCATGGATCATGGGAGTGCCATGGATTTGAGCTTCCTCAAAACACGGGGGTGTAGGTCTGGGATTTAGTTTTGAGAAACTGATTGTCATGGAAACAATTCTGCTAATGCTTTCCACAAGGTCAGAATGAGAGGTGTAGGTAAGTTTTAAAGGAGGAAAGGTATTTCACACCCTCTGCTTGTGCAGAAAAGTGGAGTGTGTGTGTTTTAAGTTGACCGGGCAACAGTCACGGCCTCCCCTTGGAATATACCCCTGATTTTCACATCCCTGCCTGAGCCCATGACCTGATGTGGGGTCTGTGCTCCAAATCTCAGCTCAGCCCCTCTCTGAAGTGCCTCTCCCATCGGGTATGTAGCTTTAAGTGCTGCATGTGACAGCAACGAGCCTCAGAGCAGACAGAGGTTAAACCTCCACCACCAGTGAGCCCAGAGAGAGCAGAGCTCATGCTCATGTGTTGTGGCAGCAGAGTTCTCAGCTGAGTGGACAGGGCAGGATGTT